ACATTGTGATGGTTCTTCCCCCGCGCGCCGCTCAAAGTGGACTCGACGGGCGACACTGAGAACTCGTCGGCCGACTGAGCGTCAGTGTCGACGGGGACGCCGTCGTGCACGGACGTGTAGCTGCTGCTGGCCCCTGCACCCGTGAAGTAAATAAATTTACACGATAAGCCGCAGGAAATACTACTTGTAATGGCAAATTTATTACGGAAATTCAAATAATTACGTTATAGGTTTTAGACCTGTCTCTTATACACATCTGTGTATATGTATCGATGTTAGTGTATATGTATCCAATTGGATACATATACAGTGTGTCGGTGTATATGTATCCAAATTGTATAGATGTTTGGAGATATTTTCACTTATTTGTCTAAGTATACGGCCCGCTAGCCGTGCATCATGCAGCTTGCGTGTTCGTTTATAACAACGTTTGTACATCACATTTAAATTTTTTCGTTTTCTCCCTGGCGGGGTACCTGAAGAGGTTCGCCTACGGCAATTGTAACCTTAATTATAATCCTCGTCAGTGAGGGATCACAAGCATCGGCGGCAGGCCTAACCAGGCCTATTCTTCAAGCCGATGATACTATTATAATCAACACAAAGGTTAAAACATGGTATAGCGGGATTACCTTAATTGTCTTGTACGTTACAGACCCTTTACATTCAGAGTATACAAGCAGACTAAACCTGCTGCGCGTCATGCTGGTCGGTCCACCTGTCTCGGACAATTTTACGGCCGGTCCCTAAATTTAGTGAACAATGAATATCTCCCGAACTAAAGAACGCAGCTCGATGAAATTTTGTACAACTGTTCATTAGGACCTAACGGTGATGTTTAGTTCAAATTTTATTTATACATTTCACCTTCATTAGTGAGTTATATGGCGATACGGGCCGACATTTGCAGTGACCAAGACATTTCTTCTAAACTATATACTGAACAGGTCTGAACGAAACTTTGAATAATACATTCCTAATCAACCAACGGCGATATTTGTCTCGTGAAAATTTTTTTCGATTTAGCGTACGTTTGCGAGTTTTTTTTCATTTAACTTTCATATTAACCAATAATTTCACCTTCTTTTTCACCAATAATATTTACGAGCTAAACATCACCGTTAGATCCTAATGAATACGTGTACCAAGTTTCATTGAGCTGCGTTCAGTAGTTTGGCAGATAATCCTTGATCACTGAATTTGGAGACCGGCCGCGAGTCCGGCCGAAAAATTGTCCGAGACGTTCAGTCCACTCGTGACCGTTGCCAGGAATGCCTAGGATTACACTTCGGTAAGGTGACTAGCATTGCAATATAGACTCGTGGATTATTGACTCTTAATGTAAACTCTTTTGTTATTGAATATAGACTCTTGGATTATAGATAATAGCCCCTTAGATTATATATTATAGACTCTTAGATTATAGACTCTTTGATTATTCTATAACTAACATACGATATCGAGAGACCCTGAAAGCTTTCCTTCCATACCTCATTAGTTCTACCTGCCATGCCATTAGCTCATGTGGTAGCCTGTATACGCATTACGTAAAGTCGGGTGATCCAATACCAAACCACTTACAACGTCACGTCACTCGTGACTGTCGCCTTCCTTCGTCACACTCTGCTTAACTGCCACTCTGGCTCGCTCTGTTTCCTCGTCACTCCACTCGTAACAGCTCTCTGGACGATGCCTCTCTACTTTGTCACATACCTCCTTGTCACATACTTGTCACTGTCGCTGGACCAAAGTTGACCCACGACCACGAGGATTGACGCCTTTCATTGCATCTGTCCTGTGAAGTCACTGAGTTCGAGAAACCTAAACAATCTCGTGATTCCCGTAACGGATTGGTTGAATGGTTTGATTTCAGTTCAGTGATTGGTTATCACCGGTGACGTCACTGAGATCAGTGGCGTCACCTGCAAACAACAAATTACTGCTGCAAAGCTGAGCTTCTCGTGGGTCGACCTTATGTGGTTAAGCACAGCACAATTGGAGCAGTGAGTTGCAAGTTCGAAACCACGACAAGCAGTGAATGTTCTGCGATGTTAAGAAGCAGCGATAGGTGAACGGCCTTATCAATGCTGCGCAATTATACTTGTCCATACATGACTGAGACCCCCAAAGCAACATATGCAGACAGCTCGTCTCATAACCGTCACCAAGAGGACCGCCTCGCTGTCTCATAGCCCACGCCTGAGGACGCAGCTCCACTCCTAGAGCAGCCCCCACTGCATGGCACGTGAGCGGATTTTATTGCCAGCAGACGATTTGTTCCTCATTTAAGCCGATTTCATCACGCCACCCTCCTAAACTTATTTCTGTTTCCAGTTAATTTATAGCGAACGAGAATCATTTGTAGGTTTCTNTTTAGATTAGTTGTATTTAAAACTGACTTTATTATTATTTTGACAATAAGTATCATAATTTATGATATTTAAGCGCAGATGACGTAATACGGGAAAACTTTTACGGTTTAGTTTGAACGGTATTAACGGTAGACCGTTGCAATTGTGAGTTGCCTGCCATTTTGAATTGGTTGCGCCATGAATTCGTTCGTTAATTATAAAGGTTGTATTTGTATAGGCTACTAGCTAGTTGACTAGTTGTATACAAATGTTTAATGTTAGCCTTCAAAGCTTGAGTGCTTGACGAGTGCATTTATCAAGACTAATTGATGTGCAATAATTTTTCTAACTTTTGTAGGCTAGCTGCCTCTGTCCTGCGACCTGCATCAGACCAGCAATCCTACGTCTAAAATAGTTCAGTGACATTCTGACTCCTTTACTCAGCCCTGCTGTGACTTTCAGACTGATTGCTTCAATCCACTCACAGAACCTAAACCAGCAACAATGAATGTGAGTATTATAATTACAGACATGCTGGCAAAATGTTGAGGTAATTAAATTGGGTGGAATTTTAGAGCCATAGATGATAGAGTTAAAGGCATTGAATCATTTGAATGAACAGGTTGGTTCTCTAATCATTCAATTCATTGTACATAATGTACAATCATATTGGATTGTATGTTTTTAGATTAGCTGGCCCGCTGGAAAACCTAAAGGTGCCAGGTAGAACCTTCTTATAAAGTTTAAGGATATTTTAGGATTAAGAAAGAAATGTAGGCTACCTACTTTCAAAAGTGTCAATGTTACTAATGTTGCCACCAAACTTGAGTTGCCAGCCTTTGAAAGAAGCAATCTTTATATTCTGTTGAACAAACTGAGCCATCACTTTCTAGCATCATCAAATAAGCTTTATATTTTTTACAACTTAATCAGATACATTGAAGTGCATTTATAATTTATATTGTATCATTTCTATTACTGATTGGCAAATTAAGTGCAGTAATTCCTGAGTTACAACTTAAAAGTTAAAAAATTCACAGTGTTAAAGCAGAGAGTTTTTATAACTCTCCCTAAGTTAATTTTTGAGGCCTATAAGTAGACCAGTATAGTATCATGGATACCAGCATAATCATATACAAGAAATTGGTATAAATCTTATTAATCTTGATTAGATGTGGGAATTAAAAATGAACTGATTGTAAAAATCTCTGGTTTGTCACTATACACATTATTTATGGTATTCATAAATGGTAGATAACTTGATAAGAATTAATTCTTCAAGTGGGAATCTCCATACTCCAAAATATGCAAAAGGCTCTAATTATGGCTTTTAAAGTAAATATTATCCTCATATCATTGAGACCCATGTACAGGCCTGCTCCACCATGATGGGTCAGTGCGACCCATGTACAGGCCTGCTCCACCATGATGGGTCAGTGTGACCCATTTGTTGGGGCTGGGGCGCGTGATGGGTCAGGGGATAATATAATAAATAGAATTTATTTAAGTCAGGGGGTATAGTAAAATAGCAATATACAATAACTTTATCAATTTTGCCAAGAATTTCACAGCCATCCGTGGGTTTTGAACCCCCTCTTGCTGCTCTAATCTAGATGATCTTTTCCCAAATACTATGCATAAAATTCAATATTTTGTGAAAATTAGAAATTTGAGCTCGGTGAGTAATGGACGTAAAGTTTACAATTTGCTGGAAAATTACATTGATGTTCGGTTCTTTGTGAAAATTTGCGGAAAATAAAATATATAGAATAATACAATAAAATTTAAAATACAATAACCTTGTATATAATATGCCGAAATGTTTGTTTCTTTGAGAAAAATTTGCAGAAAATGAAATATATAATATAATATAGTATAATATAAAATACAATAATCTTGTATAAAATATGCAGAAATGTTTGTTTCTTTGTGAAAAATTCACGGAAAATGATATATATAGTATAATATAATAAAATATAAAATACAATTACCTTCTATAAAATATGAAGAAACAAATATTTTGTCCCCCAGTTAATAACCTGTCCCTGCAGGCATGTTCGACCACCAGCGGACAGGCCGCATCGACGTCCATCAGTTCGCGCAGCTCTTCGCCTTCATCAACCAGTGGACGGAGGCCTTCAAGCGTGCTGACGCTGACCACTCCGGCAGCATTACTGTCAGCGAGATGATGCCAGGTATGTTGACAGCATTACTGTCAACCAGTGGACAGAGGCNCCCTACCCTCACTCTACCCGCACTCTACCCTCAGTGCTGCAGCAGCAGGGCTACAACGTGTCCCCCGGGACGGTCCAGCTGATGGTGCAGAAGTACGGGCAGCCTGAGGGGGGCGCGTACCCCCTGCCAGGAGCGACGGCCAGCCTCGGGCTCGACGGGTTCATCCTGGTGAACGTGCAGCTGCGACGTCTCACGGACACCTTCAGACAGAAGGACGTACAGCAGAAGGGACAGATCACCGTCAGTTATGAGGAGTTCGTCACCATGGTCGTCAATACCGTCTAGACGGCGGCAATACTGTCTAGACGGCGGCAATACTGTCTAGACGGTGGCAATACTGTCTAGACGGCAACACCGTCTAGTTTCCGTCATTTGCGTTTTAAAGTTGCGGTCGCGGTTTAAAGTTCATTTTAAAAATCAACGTAATTGGCATTTGAATTTAAAGCAGACAACCACAACAATGATGGTTGCACATGCACACAACCAAAACAATGCTGATGGTTGAAGACAACCACAACAATGCTGATGGTTGCGCACAACCACAACCATTCCCTGCCACCTATTTACCGTGGCCCTCTTACGTGTTCTGAAAGACTATTTTTATAAGAGATTTCCAGGAGCGTTTACATGCGACATTTATTAACAAATAAACGAATTTTTAATCTAACTCACAGATTGTTATTTGTAATGTCGGCCTTTCCGTGTATGTTATAATAACCCATGTTAAGAACAGGTTCTTCTGAATGATTGTTAACAAATAATGATTGCTGATTCAAGTATATATAATGGCTGCCGGCCAACTATTGTACTGCTCTGTAAAGTATTACTGAGCCAAAGTTTCGGTGTATCTATTTTCTACGGTGATTGTCTTGTATTGATTCTGAAAAATATATTTGTACTTGTTTCTATGCTATTCCTACCTGAAATTTGTCTTAGATGTTCATTTCTGTAAGCTTTCATTGATTTTTTTTTGTTGATAAACATGCGTACCTACAATGCATTTTTAATGTGAAAAAATGTCATGAAATGAATTTATTTCTAGGAGTAAATAATATGTATTTAACTGGAATACCAAAAAACTCTGGTGACGCAAATAAATGTTACCAATTTGCAAATAATAAAACTCGTTGATGTTAGGAATAGGAAGATCTTTAAGATGGGCACGAGTTGGTGTATGGAAAAGTAGAAAGATATCTTGGTATAACATATCTCGATTAATCCGCCTATGCCACGTGTTTAAATTTCCTAAGGATGATGCACTTCTACAAATAAAGCTGCTGCTCCTTAACAATTGCCGCCTGAACTCGCATATGAAGAAAGCACAGATAAACTATGCTCGAATAATGGTCTGGAAAATTAGGTTTTGTTACAGGACCCTTCGAAAAGACCTCTGGCCTTGAAGGACGTCTGGTCCAAAAGTCAATTTTGTTGAATTTTGTCCTCAAGTAAAGCATGCTATCGTTGTGAAGGTGTATACATCATAACATAACATATTGATCTCGGCGCTGGAGTGTAGGCCTGATGTGGCCTGTCGCCGATTCTTTTCCTTTTCGTGCCTCGTTCATAGAAGATCTAAAATCGTGCCATTTGACCGGATCTTTTCATGACTGACGATAGGTTGAAATAGCTACTAGACTTCCACCGGGTTCGATATGGTGCTAGGCATTTCAAGTCTGAACATATATTTCTCCATAGCTTTATCTAGTCTGTTCTTG